CTCCTCCTCCTCCTCCTCCTCCTCCTCCTCCTCCTCCTCCTCCCCCTCCGCCTCCTACTCATCCTCCCTGTTTCCACTCCACTGCAAGAAGTCGAACGTCATATCCGTCCTCGACTTCTACGCTTCGTGAAGTGCCGCAGGGCTCTGCGGACCCTTCGGGTGATGTAAGAAGCTCTCCAGGGGCAAGCGTTGGCGGGCCAATCCTTTACGTGGTGTGCATTATGTAACCACCTCCCCCCAGGCCAGACCATCCACAGGTGGAGGCCCTGTCCCAAGTGCCGTGGGAGCAAGGAACGACACGGCAGGATAAGTCAGCATCGAATCGTCAAGAAATTGGGCCGAATCAGACCAGACGCGCCAGGATGCACAACAGAGCCGTGCAGGAATCGGGACGCATCGTATCCAGAATCCGTTCGAATCGAGCTGGCCAGAATCGCTATCAAATCGGATCGACCATATCGACATAGGCCCTGCACGGTGAGCAAAAGCCTGGGCTGCCACGCTGCTGGCTCGAAGGTGTCAGCCAAAAGTGGCTACAGCCGATAGAAGGGAGCTCGGCAGAAGCTCATCGTCATCCACTGCTGCCAACATCGGCATCACGCCCACGATGCTAATATTTCCCCATGCACATCCGACTCAGCCGCACGTACGTGCTACCTCAGTGCATATGGCCATGGCACGACGTGTCTGGCAACGGTGCAGCTGAGCTCATGAGCACGCCGAAGGCTCACGACAACACCAGAGGTATTTACCCAGTAGCATCAAGAGCTCAGCATCATCACGATAGCTGTCAACTGACGGAAGCACAAGAAAAAGAACGGGCATGAAAATCACCAACTCTAGTGCAGACCCCTCGACCGTGAAAGCCGATCCTATGCCCATCAGCCTCCGTGCGGCACGCGCCAACACGAGGGTGTCCGAATTCGTTTTGCTCGTGGCCTTTCTTGATGTCTCCTATCACAGGAACTGGACAGATCCTGTGGTTGGTGGTTGTTCGCGCCTTCCTCGTCCGCTCCCCCCCTTGTCTCGGGCTCCCCCGCCACGCATCGCTGGCTCACTGATGCCGCGCCCGCCGAGCGCTTGGCGCGCAGTGCCTTGCGGAGCCCTCGTGTTCGCCCCCGACCCCCAGTCCCTTCAGATGGGCGCCCGGGCGACTCTTCCTGTTGGTTGTCCTGCCCGTTTTTCCCAAGCCCTGGGTGCCGCCACTTTGGCCGAGGCGCTGTCTGTGCAGCCTGGTCGATGTACATTCAGTTGTGCGCGGGCGGGCTCGGTGGCGGAGCTTGGAGCTGGCGGCAGGTACCCAGCACACCGATGAGTGACCCAATGGGCTCGCCCGACGCGCTTCGGTCCTCCATTCTTCTCTTGTCGCTCGTGTGCTTTTGTTCTGCCGGCACGGCCAGCCCATGCCGGCGGCACTGCAACGCCTGACCTGGCTGGAGGGCTAGCTTTACCTCGTAAAGGACCGCCTGGTCGTCACGTTTCCCCTGGGTAGACTGGGGCACCCCCCTCTAGTGCGGTCCACGTCTGCGCGCCATCGGACGCTGAAGGTACTGGGGCTGCCGCCGGCTTCTGCTTCCCTCTTCGCCTGCTTGCTGGGGCCCCCAAGCAGGGGGGCAGCCGCTTGCGCTAGTTTCTGTGTCACCCCTAGACAAGAAGGCATCTGCGGGAGGGTACCTGGCTCACCTGGGGGCCAGTGCCTGTGCGGGGCCACACTCTGGGGTCTCGCCTTTTCGACGCCTGGTCACACCCGCAGCTCCCTGCTTGTTCTAACGGTCACAACAGTCTGGGGTCTCACGGTGCGCCCTAGGACGTCCGGCTCGCGGTGGGGGATCCTTCCCCCGCCAGGCGGTGCTCCCCTACTTAGGGGCCGGACCTTGCGGTGACCCTCGCGCCGTATGTCGCATCTCCCCGCGGGAAGGGCACAGCCTCCTTCCGCAGGTGGCACACATCTGGCCGGTCTTGTCTGCTCGACTTGTCTCTCGGGTTCTGCGGGCGCCATCGCCTTTGCGCCTGGTCGGTCCCGCGTGTGGTCGGCGCCGACGCTGCCCCACCTTCTCGTCTTTGTTCGATTTCTGGTCCGCTTCACTGCCGCCCCTGGGGATTGAGAAGTTTCGTGGCTGGCACGCCTGGCTTACGGCCATGGCTCACATCTGCCAGACTGCTGGGACATTCTGCATCTTGCCAGTGTCACAGGCGGGATGCATTGGCACCAGTCGCCCTGGCCGCCGCTGTGGGCTCTTCAAGTCGCGCGCTTGTCGTACATAGCGACACATAGCGACCCCTCGCACTCGCGTTCCAGTTCGCCTCGTGTGCTCGGCTTCCTTGCATCTTCCTGCCCGCTACGGCAGCTTCAACGTGCATACCCGTTCTCACGTTTTTCTGCACGCGACTGCCACCGTCCAGTTCACTCATCTGCTACGCCACGTTGGAACTCGCCCAAACGTGACCAGGCTTAGCACATCGGGTCGGTGTCGTCACCTCGCCGCTGGAGGAAAAATCG